ACACGGGTTGGAATTCAGAGCAAAGTCATCACTTCTTGTGCCCTCAGAGGAACATAACTCTGTAAGTTTCCTGGAGACAGAAGAAGCACAAAGGGACACACCTGACTCCACCATCAATTTTCCTGTCTATCTGGAGTCACCAGCCTGAATGCTTGGCTAGCTGGCTAGGTCACATGCATGTACAACATGAGAGAAACGCCCATAAATTTCTGTAATCCCTGCCCAAGGCCAAGTTCTGCCAGGGTCACCTACAGCTATAGATCACCTCTGCAAAAAAAAAAAAGCAAAAGCTGACTCATAGCAGATTTAGAGACATCCTTCTTCCAAGCTTCAGGTTCACACCCAACACAAGAGGGTCTAGAGTCCTCCAGAGGAACATCAGCAATGTCTATTAAGCGAACAAAGCATTTCATTCTTCATTATGTGTGCTTGGAAATGATTATCTGGAAATTTCTGAGAAACAGGTAATCTTTAATGGTAGAAAATTGGAATATTGCTTATATCTTGCTAAAGTTACCATCTGCTGAATACATAATCTTATTGTAGGGAAAGATAGCTAATCTTTAGAATCAGTGAGGACTCTTAGCTAACACAAGAATGCATACCTGTAATTGATTTTCCATGACGGTATCCTGTGGAAGCAAAATAGACACACATGACGTAAAAAATTTAAAGAGTTTGTGGTCAGCTATCCAGATCCTTCTCCAAAAGTGCCACCAGTGAAGTATTTTTCATACATAAGTGTTTGTTGTTTTCAGTGTTTCTAAGAGTCAGGCTGATGTCAGCTGATAAGTCAGCTGCAACAACACAGCCAAACCTAATAATCAATCCGGTAAGCCAGTCGTTTTCTGGCAGCCTCAACTAATTCAGAGCTTTCCTGTTGGTTAATTTTTAAAAATTACTTTAGGAATTTGGTGTCGAGTACTCAAAGCTGCAAAAATCAGATGTTCTTTGTTAGAGTTGATCTGGTTCTGGCAAAAGAATCATATCAGATGAATGCATAGTTGCCTTCCATAGAATAACATGATATTAGGTTAAGTTGCCAGGGTCTGATTCAGGAAATTACTTCCGCGTGCGGTTAAATCAGTCCTAACTCAGAACAAATCCTTTTTTTTAACTTTAATCTTGTACTTTCTAAGTCCTACTGACTTTCATGAGTCAAAGGGAGTTTCCTGAGGTTAAGCAAATACTTAAATATTGTTCTGAAGAGGGATGCTTTCAAATAGGGTGGAAAATATTGGATTTTTTATGTATGCAGTCATAGAAATCCTATCTTCAGCGCTTTGGTCTAGGCCCAATGTTCTGAGATATTCTCTGGCAATGAAGTATCACACAGGGGCCTCGTGGAAGTGCTTCAGCCCCCAGAGGACAGGATGTGAAGATCATACCACCCTGCTCACAGCCTGACCCACCTGCACGGGGACTCCTGGGCATGCTGCTGGCTCTGCAGGGTGCAGCTGCAGCACAGGAGGGGCTGATACAGCCATGGGAGAGCAGCCCAGTGGAGATGCAGGAGCAGGGCTGGTCACTGGCATGCACCATTACCTCCTAATGGCAGATAATGGTAAAAACTAATATTGTCCTGATAGTTGTTGTGCTAAGTAACCACATCTGTTTGCCAAGCTGTGCAGTACCAGGAGGCAGAAACCTCTTGTGGGAGAGAGGAGGAGGAGGCAATGGGAAGAGCAGGGACATGTGAAAATTGTTGCTTTTGCAAACAGCAATCAGTAGCTGCTATTGCACTGGTGAGGTGAGAGCTGGCACACTTATGCCCCAGCTCATGCCTTAGTGTTGTGTGTGACACACTCGTGGATCATGGGGAGATGTGTGATCACGTGCATCCGAGGTGCTGTCTTGAGCAGAAGCCAAAACAGCACTTTGGCACCATTTCAGCAGTTATTGTTCCACCAGCCCAAGCCAGCTGAAGCATCCAAAGATGTGTCAGGTCGATCTGCCTGCGGTTAGAAACTAGAACTCGTCGGTTCAGGCATGGGTCAGTCTGCACAAGAAAGCTTTGCAGGCTGTGAGCCATGCCTTCTACCTGAGATTTATATGTTTGCAAGGATTTCATCACTGAAATTGCGTGAGCTGGAGGTGAAGAAATTTCTCCCCAGGATCGATTTGGTGCATAGCCAATATGCAAACCTTGCTTAAACAACACTGCCATTGAGGCACTGCAGTCACACAAACCTTAAAAGGTTTCTGTATTAATTTTAAACAATTCGCAGAAGCCCCTCCATTCAAAGCAACCTCAGACGTGTTTCTTCCTATCCAGCCACTGCAGTTTGAGAGCAGGGGTGTCTGCAAAAATGTTTACATACAGTGAAGCACTGCTGTCACTCAAAGCAGTCACTCGCTGTACTTGCACATCAGCTTGCCAGGGAAAATATGTGCACCATGTATTTGTTACACTGCCTTTAGGTACTCTTTGCCAAATCTAAACTTGTTTTTGGAAAATGGAAGATGAGGGGAAAGAGCCAAATCCTTCAGTCCTGGCTCGGATGAAGCTCAGACTAACTTCAGGTTTTCAAGGCATTGAAGCATGGCCCTGTGCACAGAGACCCTGAAGATGGAGCTGCTTCTGTTTAGACATAGCAATTTGAAGATTTCACTCCTTGTTTGTCGCACCTTATGGTCATAGGACAAAAAAAAGTGCCTGAGCCGTCTTGACAGCTACTGCCATTAGAGCTGTAATGGCACAAACAGTCCCAGGGATTTTATTCAGTATTTTGCTCATGACAATTGTCATGCTGGCATGAGAGGTTGCAGGAACACCTTGCTTCTCTGCAGCACGAAGCTTTTTCTTTTCTCGCTGGCTTCACAGAAGATGAGGGGGCTGAGATCTAGCAGGTTGCTGTCAGGCAGAGTCACGGTGCTGTGGCAGTGTGAATGAAAGCAAAATTAGGGCTTTGCTGTCAGGAGGATGAAATATCAGCAAGCATTTCCCGGCAAAGATCTCTTCAGCAGCTCCCCATTAGTTTTCATTCACTTGATGTATTTCAGTACTTACATTCAAATCATATTTCTCTGAGAAAGGAAGGGCTGTGTGCAGTCAGGCGAGCTGTGCCTTAATCTCTGTGCACAGTCAGCAGGAAAAAGGTTGGTGCTACAGAGAGTAACAGAGGGCTTAAGTGAGACCCTGCAGAGAGGAACTGCCAGGAGCCAGGAAGGAGAGATGCACACAGAGCCTCACTGACTGTGTTGGCCATCAGTGCGATGGGTACATGTGGATCTTCACTTGCATTTCCTTAGTTTCTCCATCAGAGACTGACAGTGGCAGCACAGCCTGGAGTCTCTGCTGAGCGGGGAGAGGTGGGACATGCAAAGCATTGATGGCTGTGTTCCAGAAAGGTGATATTCTCCAGTGTGAAATGAGCAGCCTTTCCATCTCTCCCACCCCTGGACGTGGTTTGGTGGGCACGGTAGGATGGATTGGGGTTGGACTGGGTGATGTTAGTGGCCTTTTCCAAACTTAATGATTCAATGGTTCAGTGTCTGGATCTATAATTGTAGGCATTGTGCTCTGGAAATCAGGCTGTCTAGCAAGTGTACTGATAACGTGACAAATGTTTCGATAGGGGAGGCTGAAAAGGAAGAAATGACTGTTCCACACCAACCTTCAGTTAAATTTTCTTTAATTTGTAAGTGTTACGTGGCCTAACCTCAGCCTTGCTGATTAGTGTTGGACAGATACCAGAGCATCTTTGCATTGCTGTGTTTGAAGTCCCTCTGTTAAATCCTTCTGGTTTCAATGGGTGCTCTTTCAAGCTGTCTAGCATGAGCAAATACTTTGAAGTGGGTGCTAATCAAAGAGCTAGAGCAGGATTTTCTACATCATTCACATCTTTTTTTTTTTAAGTTTAAGTATATTAAGATCAAAGCAGTTTACTGCAGTGAATACACTGAAAATGCATTCAAAACCTCAATCAAAATAAAGTAGAGGAAATCACTAGCTGTAAACTGCTGCATTATTTTGTGTTGTCAGTTCATTTAATGTACTGAGAATCTCAAACCTGTAGCCTCCTGACTGTTTTGCGTTGCTGATGTTTCAATGACAGATGGCACTTGTAAAGGAACACGTCATGTTTATGCTCCTGGATTTTGAAAAGTCACCTGTTGAATGCAGCAAAACTTACATAATCTCATTGCTACTTCCACTGCATTTCAAGTCCAGTTCTGCACAGACTTTGCCTGATGAAAAGACTGGCAAAGTTCATTCAACTTTAGTCACTATCACAGTGAAGATAAAGCATCATTGCTGCAACTGTAGATAACTGAAGATAAATATTTCTATAAGGTCTTTCAAAAAGAAATGTCTATTAGACTTTTTTCATGGTTCCTTCTCTAGTTGTACAGTGGCTATGTAAAAGTCCCTTTAATTGCCAAAGGGAAGCCACTGTTTGGGGGCAGAAAGTGCAATAAGATTACTAGAGCTGGGGTCAAAAGATAAAATTCCAAACTCAAAGCAATGCTCTGGACTCTGTTTGAGATCTGTTGTTTAGCTGAAATTTCATCTTTAAGGGTGCTCTGAAGCATCTGACAGTGTCGCAAGGTAAAAAGTTAAGGACCATTTGTATTTGAAACCACCAGGATATACCAACTCCATGAAACTCAAGGGCAACACTTCCACTGTAGGAGCAACATGAAAGCCTCAAAGCCAAGGTGTAGCTACCCACCCCAAGGACTGATGCTGATGCCCGTCTGCATTTTGAACTTGTAGCAGATCCTGGTTGCAAACAGATAACAAAGTCTGTCCCATGTGCAGGGACATGCTTGTGTCTGCCCTGCTACCAGCTGGTGAAGATCGAGCCGATGGTAGGTTAGGATGGCAATCTGTTTTCCCGTGTTAAAACTCTCATCAGCCCTTATTTAACTTGCCTTGTATTTGCTGATATCTGAAATGCTGTTGCTAAATTGAATGTGCTGTTTTTGCTTGCGGCTCTGAAGCCTTTGTGCGTTGATTGCCGAGTTAATGATTTATACCTTAATGCTCCATTTAGGGCCCTCGTGTTTATCGCTCATGGCGCTGGGGAACACTGCGGCCGTTATGATGACTTGGCCCAGAGGCTGACAGAACTTAACTTGTTTGTATTTGCCCATGACCATGGTGAGTAGCCTAAAACAGTACTTGATTTACAGCAGCTCAGGACTTTACTGAGGCAAATGCCATTAAAGCTACTCAGCAGTGAGAGAAAAGTCAATAAAATACACATCGGCGTAAATGAGAAAGGGAGCATTTGAAGCTTTGTAATAATCTGCATACTGAATTTATAAGATAGCAACCCTATTTCTCTGGGTTTTCCTCAGTCTTACCATTAACGTTACTGCTGATGCTGGTTTAACCTCTCTGTTAAGCACTATTTCTCTTTCACCTATCTCTTGGGGGTGAGGAGGGATCATCCGCTGTGATAGTGGGACTAGGAGCCACTTTTGCTGGATTCATGGTTCTTGTCCTAAACATCGCAGTGGAGGGGCTAAAATGACATCATAGCTTTCACGCAGCAGTACAACTAGATAGCTGCACCCTTGATGCAGGGAATCAATGTGATTAATTATGGCAGTGAAAAAAAAGCAAGGTCAGTTCTGAGCTGAAAGGTGAAATGGGATGGATTTCAGGGCAAACCCGATCTCCTGGCAGATCCTCCACTGACACTGGAAAGCGTAGGAAGCATAGGAATACAATGTATGGTTCTCCCTAGCTCTCCTCAAAGACAAGACTGATGAACTTGAGCTTGAAGATCCTGAAAGCTGTGGAAAGGAGAACAAGTGAGACATTGCATCCTTAATCTGAGAGAGGAAAGGCAATGTCTCATCAAATTCAAGTACTCACAGCTTCACCTTGGTTTTGCTTTCATGATTCCTTTTCACTCACAGCACTGCACTTGATGTGCAGAATTCTCCCTGACAAAAAAAAAGTATCTGGTCCTGAATATATAAACTACTGTCTGTGGTTTTACAGGCAGCAGATCACATGCCATGCAGAGCTGACTTCACAAAGACAGTTGACCTGTGCAAAAGTATCTCTGCTGACCACAGGAGTCTGTTTCTCCTTAAATGGGCGCAGATGTTGTAAGTGTGGTATCATTCATGTTGATATACTTCCTTCTGATTCAGACGTGGGCTAGTGGGAGCATGCAGCCATCCCAGCAGAAAAGATCTCCATTCCTCTTTTGGTATCTATATGGCACAAAGTTCATGAGAAAGGCAGAGGCATGGACTATGTGCTGTTCACCCTGAAGCTGCTCTTAATAGACCACAATGTGTGCAAAAAGTGACTGAACGAGGCACAAGCAATTTGTTCAGATGGCTGGCCGGGGCCCAGCACCCCAGGACTGTGGCTGCTCACTGCATGCTGAGTAGGCCTTCATTCCTTATTCCCTTAACACTCAGTAACGGTTTTGAGAAGTAGAGTTGAAATAGCAATATCTGAAGCAATGAGTCTAGAAGAAGTGATAGAGCACTGTATTTATTGCATGGATTTGATATAGACAGTGACTCTTCTGTAGGCAGGAAGGGGCTTTGGGGTGAAGGATCCTGTCAGGCGTTTATTGTGCTGCATAAAGAGACAGTTATTTGCTCTCTTTTCCTTGGCTTTTTTTTTTTACTAGAGAAGCATAGGTATGTTGTGTTTTTCTTCCTATGGACAGAATTGCTGAATTGATCAGTTCACTTAACACACTTCTGTGCTTGGACTGCTTAAGAGCTTCGTTCTCTCTGTCAGACTTACAGTATTCATTGTCAACTTAGTTTGGTTTTCATCATCACAAGGAGAGGGCAAAGAGGAACCTGAAAGCAGAACACTGAAAACACAATTGTACTACACAAAGAACTCATTTAAATGAGACTGGATTCACTAAGCTACAGAGACAATTAATGTATTTTAGGCTCTATAAAATAATATTTCCACCTAAAGAGGTGAGTGGTGAGGACAGACCTTATCTGGAGTAACACAGTTACAGCCTGAGCTGAAGGACAGGGACTGGGCTCTGAGCACCTGATGGAGCTGCAGGTGCCCCTGTTCAGTGCAGTGGAGTTGGACTGGGTAACCTTTAAGAGTCCCTTCCAACTCCAACAATTCTGTGACACACACCTTCACTGCCAAATCTGCCCAGAGCAATTGGAGGATTATAACTTTTCTCCACTGTTTTCCCCTTCCCAAATCACCTCACTGGTGTGTTTCCTTGTTGTGTCCCATCCTTTGGATATCTTTGGGTAATAGTTATTCAATTGCATTAGCAAAATAATTGCTTTCCCTTTGTAATTTCTTATGGTAACTCTTAAGGGCTTGGCGTAGATTTTTTGACCTGGATGTTTATTCTTGTTCTGGAATACTCATGGATACATTTCCCAATTCAGGCATGATATTATTCATGCAGTTCCACTACACGGCTAGCATGATTTCCCAAATGAGTTGGGAAGTTGTTATGGCTATAGTACGTGTGACTTGACTGATTTATACAGTGTCTGTCCTTCAGTCAAAAGAAGGAAAAATAATTTCCATTTATACTGCTGATTCTGTAAAAGCTTATGCATGGGCTGTAAATCTCGCTGAAGGCTGCTCTGCACCACTGGTTCTTGTTATGCAAGGCTACAGCAAAATGGCTGGCATATCACAGGGTAACAGTGCTCATCTGAATTTGTGCCTTCCTGTCGGCACCAGAGAAGTGGCACCAGCTTGGCTCTCTTAGTGTCTCAGAGTATGCTATTAATGCATTTGCTTTTTCAGATATTTCACAGTAACCTCAAGACAGCTGTATCTCATAGCTGCTTATTAGAAACTTTCTTTAATAGCGGTGAAAACTTATTTCCAGAATACCTCTTAGGTCTCCTTTACACCTAATGCTGTTCAATTGCTTTAATATCAGCCTCATGGAAGAGAAAAATGCTATTTCTTTGTAATGCAGCATTTCATTCTGTGGTCTCTTGTGTTTTAATAGGCAGGTAATGGTTTTCCATGGTTTCTGAGTGTACCTGGAGTGCAGCTTCATGAGTTAAGGTTGTTGAGATGACCCTGCTGTGTATTTCTGCCAGGTTCAGCTTTGTTGAAACAAAATTTCACATTTTGGTTTCCTTCCTATATTACTGTTTTTAATATGTCAACGTTCTGATGACAGACAAAGAGACAGATGAATATATTGGGTTATTGGCAATCAATTTAGGGAAGCCCTCTTAGAAGGAATACCCATGGGGGAGTCATCAAACTGGAGCAATATGGTAATTCTTCATGGACCTGCAGACAGATTGCAGCTCCTTTAGTTATATTATCTTTACGGTGAAGCAGAAAGCCAAGGAAAATGAGAATAAAGGATAGAGAATGTGGCTTTGTTTCCCCTACCCAAGCATTTTCAGTTGGTAGAGCACATGATGTTCCAGCTATACTCGTCTCATTTCTTGAAACATCTCATTTGCTGGAATCTTATCTGTATGGTTGCGTTACATGGCCTGAGACCAGAACAACCACAGTTTCACCTTCAAAAGTACGTCAGCTAATCATGGTTATAAAAGCATTCCAAGATCCAAGGCCCACAAAAATACATTTGCTTAGATCTTACACTTTTAACAGTGATGGCACAGGACATCTTTTTCACTCAGAATTGCTGGTGCTTCTTATGGGTAATGAGTAATGGTCTTCTGGTATGCAAATGAGGAAAGTGAATTACTTAGCCCTAACCAGGCAGCAGATCTTAGCCTTTAGATTTGCTTGAGGATAGTGCTTTGCAATGCTTGTGAGCACTGCAGATGGGCTAAGAGGTCCCTCTCACACCTACTGCTGCTTGTGTTCCCCTTAATTTCCTTGTTGCTTTCTCTATTTAAGTATGTATTTTTAAAAAGCAGAAAATAGCTGCAGGCTTTTAAATGCTTCAAATATTAGTTGTTGTGTTTTTTTTTCTAAGTGATTGCTGTGTTGTTCTTGCAACCGTTAAAAGACCATTTTGTTGATGAGAACAGAAGGCTTTTATTTATTCATAGTACTGGGAAGGATTGGTCTGAAGAGAAAGGTTAAAAAGGACTGAGCAAAAACTGGGAGGGGGGAAATGACTAAGAAGGATGTCAGCACTAATAAGAGCATTAATAAAAACGAGGATACTGCAGTGAGAAGGAACTGCTCATGGACACCAGAATGAGAGAATGTTCCTAGAGAGCAGCAGTGATGATGTGAAATCACTGTGGGTCTGGAAATATCAGCACTTGCAGGAGTACAAAATACTGTACCGTATTGGTGTGCTCCCTTTCGGGCTTCTTCTGAATTCACATATTTCTTCACCTAGCAGTGGCAGTTGCAGGGCAGGAGGAGACCCAGCAGCCAGGGTGAGTTCCCCTCTCTTCCTGTGTATTTCCTCTGCACAAAGACCAACTCTTCACAAATCCTCTTCACAAAAGCTCTCTTTCAATATTTTTACTAGTGGTTCCAAACAGAGGATTCCTAACCTGGAAGGAAATTTTTCAGAGCTCTGGATTAAATTCCACAAGTACATTCCCTATGGAGAAATTAGCCTGTTTGTTCTTCAGATTATCTCTGCTTGTCCATCTTTCAGTATTTTATGATCATTTATTTGGATTGGAGAGAGAGCTGCTAAGTGGTGATTAATCTGTCCTGCTGTGGTACAAGTATACGGACATAAATCTGTATATATAGCTTCAAAAACTGCCAGACTGAGAACCTGTGTCAGAGCAAAAGTAACAGGGATATAAGGGAACACTTAAATGATTCTTTGACCCTTGATCTATGTTAAGTGTCATATGGACCCGCGAGTCTCTGCTGGAACTCATCCATTCTCCCCTTTTAACCCAGGGCATGATTGAGCCATAAACATGCTGCTACATGAAAAGCAGAGATGGCACCTCAGGGGATATAGCAGGGAAGAGTCATGCTGGTCTTCCCCATCACTCAGCTTTTCTCTTTCTAGCATCCCCTGTATGTTAATAGGAGCCTATAGAGGATGGCTTGTGGCTGGGCTGGGCTGGCAGAGCACAGCCAGTGCTGTCTTATCCCTGTTTTGACTCCAGATTTGGTACGGTCCCCAGCCAGTCTAGCTCTCCCTGGCCTTTGCTTCTCCAGATGTTGAACAAAGGTAGCAGTCATGCTTATCTGCCCTCCAGGGCAGC